GTTTGGGCGTCACATGTAACTGGAAATGTTTCTTCTGTTAGGTTCTATAGTGACTTTTTTCGTAGTCATTTGCATATTTTAGTATTATGCCCCCAAAATCAAATATCCCCTACTTTTTTTGAATAGTATATTATGTATCAAACTTTCACAGTTTGGTAGGTTGCAAGGGATACAAAACATATTCGCTATAATGACGCACATGGGATGGGAATATTTGCAGTATATTTGTTAAATTTTTGCGATGTTAATTGTAGTACATGCATATTAAACGAAATATATTATCATATACATAAGGCTTAGGTTTCCGAGTTTTACGCCTCAGACCGACATAAGGGCTTTAGAAAGTTGGATATATCGTAATATTATTTCGCTAGGAAGCTGTAGAAAATTGATAACAATCATTAGTTTTGATATAAATGACCTTTGCAGTTACCTGGACTATTCTAATCATAAACCTTGGGAAACGGTGCCTTAAGGAACCCACCGACCCAACGGTGAAATAGAGCTGGCTAGACTTTCATTTAGTGTTCCAGCATTATCCAAAGGCAACCTTATTATTCGTTATATTTCGCAATCACGGCTTTAATTAATCCAACATATCGTATGTTTTTGTCCTTTAAATATGAGGTTTCTCCGTTTAACAATCAAATAAACATATAATCTTCGGGGGAGCATTTTCCATTTCTTGGTTGGGCGAGAAGAACGTCTAAGGCCTTGCATTTCCGCGCTGCCTTCGGGGTAACTTTCTGTTTCTTATCAGGAAAGAGCGCATTGATTCTGCAAACTATATATAATACATGTACACGTCAATAAGAAAGATTACAACATGGATAGATTCCTCTGCTGTGGCTTTAATACTTCTGGTTGATGTAAGGGAATGAGATATCAGTTGTTGCAGACATCTTTTTTTGCTACTGTATGTTAGCTATTAGCTTGGACACAAAGATAAACTGAACTGGTTTCTGAGACCAACATGGGGGTTTACCATTCCTATGGGAGAAATTTTGCCCGTACAGTGACGTTATGGCCTACTCGTATTTCGAATTCCTACTTTCAAGGGTTCTTTTATGAGCATGTCAACGTGTGCACGGGACTTCGGATTTTCGTCCCATACGAAATGCAAGCTACGCAAGACACTGTTCCTTGCTAGGCCTTTAGCCCGGCACCACTAGCAACAAGCGGAGACCGCGCTGGAAAATCACGGGGAACTTTCGCGGCTAACACTAAGATCGACCCTTTGGTTCGTAAGCCAGCGTCTTAACATCGACGTAGGAGTCGGGTGGGTGCAAAGGGGGGCGCGGGGGCTGGTGAACCGTCCATTTTTCGGGCAATGTATTTCCGTTTTTCGGGCATAAACATCAAAGAATGTAAAATGAAATAACATTTGTGGAAATTTGTTTTAGATAATGATTGATTCTTTCTGGAAAATTCGGGTGACAAAGAAACTTCTCTGGCAAATAGCCTCACATCCCGCTTAAATGAGATTGGTTCCCTATTCGCCTTAATAACTGCATCACCGTGGCCCTTAAAAGTCATATGTACTATAATGGTAGCCTCATCTCCAAATGAAATGGGGTTTAACATCGTACTGTTCTGCTCCGAACTGGGGTAATGAAGACGGGCATACGCCATACAGTGTGCTATAGTATGGGGGAAATTTTGCTTAGGCAGCGGTGCTATGGCTTACTTTTATATCGAATTCCAACTGTCAAGGGATCTTTTACGTGCACGCCAATGTGTACACAGGACCTCGGTTTTTCGTCCCATCGGAACGACTAGACAACTGTCCTTGTCAGGCCCTCCGTCCTGCATCACTGACAAGAGGGAACGTTGGAAAATCGGGATGAACTTTCTCGGCCAATGCAGTAATCGAACACCCGACCTCCAGGCTAGCGAGCCAGCGTCTTACCCACTTAGCCACCGTGACTCCCGCCTCATCTTCAAGGTTAACACCCAGTCCCCACGACAATATCTGAATCACGCTATAATTAAAGTTACAATTTCATATTTTCTAAGAAAGTCAAAACATAATTATTTCTATGTGTTTTGCTCAATAGGTTGTCAACTCACTATTATACCATCATAGGTTATCTTTCTCACACTTAAACATCTTCACACCGGAAATAATAACACAATTACCTCCCAATTGCCTCCCTTGTTTTCCTATTCCCAACCATGGAATAGCTATCTTCAAACGTTTGAATTTAAAGTTGAAAATGATATTTTTGCCAATTTCTCAACTGACAATAGTGAATTATAGGATTAATAGGATTAATCCTTAACAAGGTAGGACTGTTAATAGATATCATCTATTTTAGGGCTTTATTTTAATACATTTTAAAAATATAACTTAAAAATATGAAATTGTAACTTTAAGTTTATCTGGGTTTGATCGTGTGAAATCATGATTCACCGTATCGTACTGATAAATGCAGTTGAGAAGAGGAGTGTGTCTCCAGCTACTATTATTCAATACACCAACAATCGTCTTGACAGGCAACATGGCCACCGTCTGTTCTGGTATTAGTGGTGATAACAAAAAGCAACACAACATAAAACAGCGCAATAAAACGACAAATACAGTATCGTCGTTTGTACAGAGAGAGAGAGGAGAGAGACATGGGTTTAACGTCCACTCAACACAAACTGGGTCATTTCGGGACTAACATGGTTCAATTTTATTTCAATAATTCGCTTGCACGTAGGGGCCTTTGGCAATTCGGGGGGGGGGGGGGGTATTTGTACAAGTTTGCGTATCACACGTGAGCTACTGTAGTGATGGGGTCCTATGAATTCTAGGGTTGTAATTTGGGAGATTCTTATGCGAAAACGTTGAAAATTGCCAAGAAGAAAGAGTATTTATCCAGTTATGTTTATTACGGTTTATAACACTGGAAACACATTTACGTACTTCCCATCCCGATTCAGTTATGTTTATCACGGTTTATAGCACTGGAAACACATTTACGAACTTCCCGACAATTTGATTATTTATTCAGTTATGTTTATCGTGGGTCACTGGCTAAGTGGGTAAGACGCTGGCTCGCTATCCTGGAGCACACTGATCAGAAGTGAATATTCGCTAGGCCTCTACAATCACTGATAAGGATGACATCAATGCGACTTAATGGGTCTCAAATATTAACTTTTTTCCACCGACAAATTAAATTCTAAAACATTTTTTTGATGTATTAGAAAAATAAAGACGTTTGACGTATTTGTAGGTAAAACTTATTTCCTATTTAGTGTAAATGGGTATTAAAATGACTAAAAGGCAGCATTCTGCCCGAAGCAGTAACGTCTTATGTAAACAACGCGCCATTCAGCCAATGATTGACGCCGCGTGCTGTGACGGTGCGTGTTAAAGGCAGTCATCTTTTACAGAGATATTAAAAGATTCGTAATTCTCTGTTAAACAGATTGAGCTTGGAGGTCGGGTGTTCGATCCCTGCATTGGTCGAGAAAGTTCATCCAGATTTCCGGCGTGGTTCCCCCCTTGAGACAGTGATGCAGAAAGGAGGACTTGACAAGGACAGTCATTCGGATGGGACGAAAAACCGACAATCGACTTAATTCTGTTGAAGGAAATGAAATGAAATGGGGGGTTAATGGCCTACATTCTGTTAAAGGAAAACATATATGCTATAGAGACACACATTCTACAAGTCATATCCAAAATATAAATGATTTCATAAAAAGTTATTGAAATTTTGACAAAAACGGTCTTACACGAACCAACAAGAGCGGGTTTTTTTTTGTCAATTTCACTCTTAACATGTCTTTATTTATCGTTCAGATATTTCTCTTGTCGGCGAATGTAGGACTAAACCTAGCACGATTCGTGCTGCCATTGATATCGTGGTTTAATTTTGAAGTAATCGTGGTGATCCTATCAGGTTTTATCATATATTGAGGCCAGTCGTAGCAATCGTGTTGATCGTATCGAAACGTATCTGCACGTACCAGATTGTGGACTCAATACGGACAATCCTATCGTAACACATCGGACGACAGCGGGAACCCATCTTCAAAAGAAGGCTTGACCTCGCTTTAACTACGTACATCTTATCAAGGTGTTGTAAAACTTGTAGTCGTTGCTTCAGGAATATGGTGGGAACCTAGCATTAATGATGACTGCTGATCACGGACGATGATAACATGTTGTGAACAGTTGGCTTATAATAAATTAAAGTTGACAATTTAACAACTTGTGACATTATTATCACACTAGTTATATATAACGTCAACTAACGTATTGCCTACTTGTTCTATATAATACAATCTGTTTCAATAAAAAAGCCTATTTTATTATTTAATAGTGATACTTGCTCTATATAAAACGGCCCAATATAAACAACTTTGTAATTAATGTAGGTCATTATTTTGGTACCAATACACTGACTTATCTAATAGGGTTAGTGCTAAATGATAAGGCCATCTCAATTTTTCGTCACAGGTCACGAGATGTAAACAGGGCTAGTGCTAATCCCAACCCTAACCCTAGCCCCAATGTTTACCCTTGCCTAAAAACTCGCCTATAATCACATGCCCTAACCTTATTTACATCCAAGCGACCTTGACAAAAATTGAGCTGGCCTTAACAAATAGATTTAGCTTTTTTTTTTTACCCCTTCATGATCCATAACAGTGGGTGACGGGGGTGGGGGCTGGGTGGTGGTGAGGGGGTTGGATGTCTGAATGATTACTGTGTACACGTATCATAAGGTCTGTCATTGAGTCAACTGGCTTGGTTTCGATTCCCCGCTTGATGAAAACAAGGAGTAAGGTCGCCTGTCCACCTCCTGGGTTTTCTCCAGGTCCTTGAACTCTTGAAACAAAAGTAGTATAACTCCAGATGTGGTAGTCCATCGCCACCAGACCTAGCCTATGTTACTGCCTGGTCCCAGCTACCCCTATACAACAAATTCCAGCCTCGGGACAGCCCTAGTATATCCCAACCCTGAACAGACAGACAAACAAACAAATAACAGTCATAAATATTAGTTTAGATAGATCAACATTTAATTCTTTCTTTACAAATAGATACATATTACTGTTTCAGACATTTTCAAGAATTCTTTTTCTCCATGTTGAAGTTAATTCTTAGTTTTTATATACAATTATTTATGTTTTTCGATGTTTTTGAGCAGGGTTCTGTGTTTAATTAGTTGTTTCTTGATCTAATAAACCCATTTCTTCCTCTGTCATCATAAAATCATCATCTAATTCATCAATATTTGAATTTTGTGTTGGTGCAGTTGATTGGCTCTTATTTTGTGAGGGTGTACTTTGTGAATTAGCAGGAACTCTTCGTACAATTTTAGGTGTTTTAGGAGTGGATTGAGATATTCCTGTAAATAAAGAAGAATACCAGTAAGAATAATTATTAATACATCTTTTTCACTAAAGGCTAAATTCTCTGAAAAACAGACTAACGTTTAAGCTAGCTCAAGTTCCTGAATATGGATTTTTTAATTGGTTCGGATCCCAGCGTGGGCTGAGAGGTAATGAATTTGGATTGAGGAAAGGTTGTTTTTTTTTTATCGGGCACCTTTCAGCCATTAATTGCTCCTCATAATTTCCATAAGTCTGGTTTTCCCTTGTGCGGGGTTGAAAGGGAAGCGACCATCTATATGTACTCTCCTGCGGATGACTCAGCTACCTCTATACACTAAATTTCAGCCTTGGGACAGCCCTTGTGTATCCACCAACCCCGAACAGACAGATGACAGTCACAAATATTAGTATAGATTGGTATCCATGTAAAACAATCCTTTGGATGGAGGCCTGTGTAATGGTACCTAAGAAATATTTTGGCCAAGGGCCCTACAAAACCTGTCAGGTTAAAATGCGAGAGAGAGCGAGAATAAAATGGGGTTGAAGTCCACTTGACACAAGCTAGGTCATTTCGGGACTAACATATGGTTCAATTTTATTTCAATAATTTGCTTGCCTGTAGGGGTCTTTAGCAGTGGGAGGAAACCGGAGGTCCCGGAGAAAACCCACACGGTTGGACAGGTAACCCTACTCCTTGTCACGTACAACCGGGGAATCGAAACCACTACAGTTGACTCAATGACAGACCTAATGATGCAAGCCCTTGCGCTAACCATTTGGCCATCCAAAACACCCAGTTAAATGACCATAGTGTTTTAAAGAAGTTTTAAAAGACTGGATATAAAATTAGTATCATCGAATTTCGTCCATGTGTGTCAACTGTCAATTAAGACAAGAAATAGACGATAGATCGCTTGTAAGTAGGCCGTAAACAAGTTATTATATGACTATTACTGAATGCATGTTAGTATTAATACCTGCATTGAGATGTAAGACCAATTATAACATAGCTACAGGATAAATACACATATGTCATATTAATGTCAAACATAAAAACCTCTAGCAAATAATCTCGTGCATCATGAAATTGATTGCTCTATGTACAGTCTAATACATGTACATGTTGGACAGCAGATCAAAACACCAAAATTAAATGGTCAGCTTTAAACAGGACATAAGTACAAATTAGATGATTTTAAACGATTTTTATGCATTATTAAACAAAGATGTGATATTAAACGAATGTGAAAGCAATTAGTGCTAGATACACAAGATTAAATGATATCCAGGCTCAGAGTTCACAAAGCATTCTCAGACTTAAGTTAACCATTTACTCAAAATGTTTGCCTTATTTTAACTAAAATATAGCCCTTTATAAAACTTTTGTTGTTTTAATGTATCAAATACATCAATAAGAAACTATGTGCAATGTTTTGTGTTTCTGGATCAAAGATATTTCTTATAAACAGTGGTTGAAAGTTGAGTAAAATCTTTACTTAAGTCTGAGAATGCTTTGTGAACTTGGGGCATGGTTACAGTGCCAGTGGCTTTACAGTGCTGTACTTTAAACCAGTCATAGTTTCTTATATAACATTATTTCTGAGAGAGAGAGAGAGAGAGAGAGAGAGAGAGAGATATTAATGCCCCCTAGGTAATTTCAGGACTTACATATGGTTCAACTATATTTTAATACTCGCCTGCGTGTAGGGATCTTTAACAGTGGGAGGAAACCAGAGGACCCAGAGAAAATCCACATGGTTGGACAGACCACCTTAATCCTTGTCACTTGCAAGTAGGAAATCGAAACCCTGCCACTTGACTCAATGTCAGATCTTATGATCTAACACGCGTCCATTAAAACCCTTCGGCCACCCAAAGCCCCCTCCATCCCATAACTTTACCTTTATCGCCATTTAATCGTTTTTGACTTTCTTCAAAATATTGATTAGGATGTTGAAAGTTTGGTACATCTCCGTCTCCAGTTACACCACCATGGATATATTCAAAATATTTAGAACAAGCTAACTGATAGTGACCTCTCTTTGTTGTTGTCATAACCTGTATTCAGATTTGTTTAAAAATTTAGCAATTAAATATAAGTCAAAGAATTGATGACAATTTAATATATATAACAACCCAACTGTGAGACTGATGTCCCCCACCTCAATCCCTAAATAAATAGATGATGATTATTAGTTATTTTATAAACAACCCAACAGTTAGACTAATGTCCCCCACCCCAATCCCTAAATAAATAGATGATGATTATTAGTTATTTTATAAACAACCCAACTGTGAGACTGATGTCCCCCACCTCAATCCCTAAATAAATAGATGATGATTATTAGTTATTTTATAAACATCCCAACAGTGAGACTGATGTCCCCCACCCCAATCCCTAAATAAATAGATGATGATTATTAGTTATTTTATAAAGTATCCAGCAATCAAATTGCTTATCACTCAGCCTAAAGGGGCATTATAGAATAGCTGGCAGTTCTCACTATAATAATTAAAAAATAGATAATGTAAAGGGAATATGTTGAATATTTCAGTCAAATTACTTCACTCTGAACTGAGATATCCTTGTTACAGTTACATTATAGCCTCAATTATTATTGCTACCATTGTTACAATAATAAACCAAGTCTTGATTATCCATTTTTATGATAAATCATCCAAACTGCCGTTGAACTGTTGATCAGAGTTAAATCCGTTGAAAATCTAGACTCTACAATTGCATCGAGAATTGATGATGGTCTTGGTAAGTTAATAAATGTCTAATTAACAATTTATTACATTTAAGGCAAAAAGAAAGACCTGCAATAGGCAGATTTAGCGCTTGCATATAGCCTGTTTAACCCGATTAGAAAATATTTATTATCAAACTTAGTCAAGGTATTGATGAATTGATGAGATAAAACTGTACATCTCTCTCACATAATTAAAATCAAAGTTGCTGTGTTCCAAATCAAATTGCTTATCTGTGCTTAATGTGCTCTTATCACACCCAAGGAGGAGGTCACAGAAATTACGATGGTTTCCCTGACCAGGAGCTAATGACAAATACTTACTTCTTCAATAGCATCCTTACTTAATCCATTAGTTCGTAATTTCTGTTTTAACATCTCAGCATCAGTATGACGAAATGGACAACCTGAAAAAAGACAAGATAATTATTTAATTATAGTGATGGGAGAAATGAAATGAAATGGGGTTTAATGTCTTATTGTTTTGCTCCGACTGGGCTTTACTTCTTTATTTTTTTTTAAATCTCTTCAATCTGATTAAAATACAGATGTATGTAGTGGAAGGTCGCGTTAGAGGTCAGCTTTTGACCCTATGACATGATTGACATCATACATTTGACTAACCAATCAGGGTTGATGTTTCTTGAGGGTTACCCACAGTTCTGTGGGTTATATAACAACTCTTCCAGATCCTAGTGCAGTAAAGACAAGTAAAACAAAATTTCTGCCATATAAAAAACAAAACGAAATAGGATCTGTGTTTTAATAAGATTGAAATCTCTTTCAACATATGTTTTGTAGTTTATTCAGTCATGTTGTTATATCTTTACTCTATGTGCATCTGGGCACTTCTTGAGGATGCACTATATATAAGTACATCTTAATAAATGAAATGAAATGGGGTTTAACGTCCTACTGTTCTGCTCTGACTTTGCAAATGAAGATGTGTACATTTATTTAGATGAAATCTATCTAAAACGTAACCTATTAAGCTTTTCATCCAAAATGCTATGTCGTGACAAAAACTGTTGATATGGGGTTTAACGTCCTACTGTTCTGCTCCGACTTTGCAAATGAAGATGTGTACATTTATTTAGATCAAATCTTTCTAAAACGTAACTCATTAAGCTTTTCATCCAAAATGTTATGTCGTGACAAAAACTGTTGAATATTAAACCTATCAAGCATTCAAGTACAAGCGTTGAAACTTGACATCTCAACACTTGAATCAATGACAGAACTAATGATCTAAAGCATGTGTTAGGATCTAATGACCTAAAGAGCACGTGTTCGGCCACAAGACCACTCATCCCTGATAAAAACAAGCTTGAAATAAGTAATCAATTATTGGTTGTTAATCTGTGACATATAGGAGGGTGAACACGATGTATTTAAAACATTACATGTCTAAATAGAGAATGAGGATAATCATAATCTTTAGTTATTGTCGATAAATAATGGTATTTTCAATCAGATTAAATTCCCATCAAATTGATCAGCTTCAGCACTATGTGTAATCTTTTTAAACAGACATTATACAAGCACTAAATCTGCCTATTGCAGGTCTTTCTTTAGGCCTGAAATGTTATATAAATTATTAAGTCTTGAGGCCTGAAATGTTATATAAACTAGTAATTCTTTAGCCTTGAAATGTTCTATAAACTATTAATTGACATTTATTAACAAGAAAAGACCAAAATCAACTGTCGATGGCATTGGATACTCAAGATTTTAACTAGATTAGAATGGTTTGCCATTTAAAATCGAATATACCAGTGCCCTGGTTACCACTATGCACACATCTTGTCAAAACTACACACAGTGATAACTTGGCTCAGAATGAAGTAATTTGAATGAAATTTTCAATATTTTCATTTTACATTATCTATTTTAAAACTACATGTTTACAACAAGAACGGTCAGCTCTTTATCTAAATCTTACATAATGTATCTTTAATAGAATTATTATAGCAAGAACGGCCAGTTCTTTATTTAAATCTTACATAATGTATCTTTAAGTCATGTTTTTACTATCCAACCCGTCTGTATGGATTTCATCTTATTTATACTGGAATTGTTAAACTGTTTCAATGGCATTTAGTAATTGAACTAGAGTATACAGGTCACAATTCTATGGAATACAATTACTGCTTTTTACTGAGCGACGTTTCGACTAGGCTTCTCTAGTCATTATCAAGCTATGATAAAAAATGAAAATATGACAGGACAATATATACATGTACACAACAATGCTTAGTTAATGCTGACAAACCGGGGATCTCCCTTAATTACGTGTACCTAAAGGTAATCTGATTTAATTAGGCCCTTGGGTACTATATCGGCATCCCTGCATCGCATCAAGAACTTAAGACTATTACATACATGTACATATTTTCCTTCTGTTCTTCGTATCGTATTTTCTGGTTTGTCAGTATTAACTTAGCATTATTGTGTACATGTATATATTGTCCTGTCATATTTTCATTTTTTATCATAGCTTGATAATGACTAGAGAAGCCTAGTCGAAACGTCGCTCAGTAAAAAGCAGTAATTGTATTCCATAGAATTGTGACCTGTATACTGGAATTGTTATTTCTTGTTTATCTAGCTTAGTGGTTCTCAAACTTTTTTAAGTTGGGATGCACTTGTAATCCTACAAATAAATGTAGGCGCACTATATCCAAATTTTGGATAAATACGTTATATTTGAGTTACGTTACATGTATGCAACATGTACATAACTTGTTACAGTATATCCATAACCATTGGCGTAATAAAATGGTAAAAGCCTATGGTATTGTAATTATACATTTATTTTTTTATATCTGGACATTAATTTCTCTGGAATTCCACAGGGCACACCTAGACATCTTCTTGGGCCTGGTACACACTTTGAGAACTGCTAATTAACTGATATGCTTAAAGACACATTCCTGTGTACAAACTGGGTGATTTGATGATATATTTGGACTAAAAACATATTCAAACTAATTAATTGATCATAATTTTGCTTCAAATCCTTCTCAAAGCGTTTCAATTGTCGGGGAATACCCTGGCTATTAAAACTCGATCAAAAGAGGTCATGTTTATGTCATGTGACTTACCTCTCCCGGTACCACAGAGTTATTTTCACTCTGTGCCGGTACCTAGCAACATAAGCGAAGTCGGAGGAGAATTCATTGCATACACAAGACGATGCTGTCTTTAATCGCTGACTATTTATTACAAATATCAAAGCCTAATTAAATTTTCGGATTATCCACTGCCCGCGTCTTTTTCCGTGATTTTTATCTCAGAAAGTGTTGTACATCTAATTATTCATAAAGTTTATCAAAATGTACATCAAGCACTCAACCTCCGCGTGCAACCTTCGACGTCACGCGTGCAGACACTCCTAATCGTCGGGCTGTCGATTAGCGAAACCCTTACATTTTTGTCCTGTATACGCTCCATGAGTGATTTTCAGGGAATTCAGTATTTTTCTAGTAAGATTGGATATTTCTACTTTCCATATAAACCAAAATTGCCATACTTTTATTAGAAATAACCACCCGATAAATACTTTTCTGGGAACGTAGCTTTAAATGTATGTATATTGTATTGGGAATTTAGGTGCATTAGCAAATAAATTAAATTACATTTTATATCTATGAATAATGAGCTAGCGCCTGAATGACTGAACCATTTATATCTATATTTATTTTTGTCGTACTGTATTCAAAAATTGGAATCACAGGGTATCTTTGATCTTTTTTGTAAAACAGTTCAATTAAATTTGAATAAAGCCATTTTTATTTTCTGGTAAATTAAAAGTAAAAACATAAAATGTTCTTATATACCGTGCGCCTAAACCATGAACTTTTATTTTTTCCTGAAACACCTCTGCCAAACTCGCCCTGCGCCTTATCCACACATGCGCCTAATACACCGAAAAATACGGTAGATGACGACTCATTTTTACAATTTATTAGTTTGTAAGATACAGTAAGATCTACAGTAAGGAAAACATCAGATCATATTGTTTCATGTAGACAGAATTAGAAAAGTCCTAATGTAATTTACCGTTATGGGTTAAGCTGAATTCTGATACTAATCAGAGATTGTCGAACTGCTACCATCTTATCTAAGTAGAATGGGTTTCTATTTCTGTATTGTCACCATAAAGCATGCCTTAAGCTTAATAAAACTAAAGGCATTAAAGTACATTTACCTTCTTATATAGTTACCGCCTTTTCTACTGAAGTGTGTTAACAAAAATAGATGATAGATTATGAAAAAGGGCACACATGTACATTTCCACAGTTTACTTTGAGTGAACTCAAAAATAGCACAGACCATGTGATTTTCAAATGATGAAAAAATTTCTCAGCTATTAATATTTTTGTATTGTGCCAGATTATTTCGGAATTTTTTCTGCACAAGTGCATTAACACAAATAGATATTATATGATGAATACATATATATATATATATCTACCACAATTTACTTTGAGGTAACTCAAAAATAGCAAATGCCATGGGTTTAATGTCCTACTGTTCTGACAGGGCTAATAAAGATGTGGTCAAAAATAGCACACAAAACGCATGATTTCCAAATGCTTAAAGATACATTGTCCCGAAAGTATTTATCAAGTGGTTATTTCCAATAAAAGTATGGCAAATTTGTTATATATGGAAATTAATATATAGACATCCATCCATACTAGAAAAAAACTGAATTACACGAAAAACACACATGGGGCAAGCACTGGGAAAAAATGTCAGGGTATCACTAACTGGGGTTAAATAGGCCGTTCTCCAATCCCATTCTTTGATGATTAAAATATTATTTATAAAAAAAAACTCCCAAAACTGGCAACCCAACTGTTGTCTGCCAGCTTATGTGCTAGCTTGACTACGGAAGTGGTTGTTATTTCTTGATCAAATGGTTAGGAGGTTTGGGGAATATTGAGGGGTGTCAACGTACAAAAGATTCTGCAATTAACCGCCGGAAAAAGAAATTGACAGAAAATAATTAAGAATTTGTTTAGGCCTCAATATGTATGATAAATCGACGGTAAGTAATGAAAAATATTTCCTGAAAAATGGACCCTCCCTCAATGAATTGAGGTGACAGTCATGGCATCTAACAACAGTGTTTATTTATACTATAGCTTGAGGTATCTCCCTGTGAATACAAAGTTTTGAGAGGGATTTGAAGCAAATTTTTGATTTATTAATTAGTTTGAATACAGTTTGTACAAGGGAAAGTATCTTTAAAGAATTTTTCAGCTTTTAATTATTTTGTATTTTGCATTATACCAGATCCTTTCAGAAGACATTTTGCATTAAAATTTCATTAACAATATGATGTTCAATTACTTAAAAAAAAAATTTATCAGCTATTAAGTACCAGATTATTTCAGAA